TAATTTATCCTTCTTAGCACAAACATTCCAAAGGAGCTTACCTATATTGGCCTTATTCCAATCACACAGATGGATAAGGTTTAGCCCTCCTGCCGCAAGTGGATTGCTCATATGATCTCATGAAACGGGGGCCTTACGAGATGGACAATCTTTTCCTGTCCAGAGAAAGCTCCTGCACAAATTATCAATGTGAGTAATAACCTTTTTAGGCAGAGGAAAATCAACATCCAGTAGTTGGCTATCGAGAATATCACGCTTTTAATCGATAATACACCTATATCAAAACCTATAGTTATGCGTAATGCCTCCTGTGTAACTTCATCTATCCCACCACAATTTTTTTTTTACTTTTGGGGATACTAATGGATAACCCAGTAGATGCAAAGAAGTATTTTACCTTTTCCATTATAAGTTACATCGATTTCGTATCACCTCTCAAAAACAGAAGAATATCGCCCGCAAAACACATAATAAGAATCTTAAGTTTTTCACATTTTGGGTGAAAATTAAAATTATGATTCTTACTCAAGCTTTGTAAAACTCGATGAAGGTATGTCATCACGAGCACAAAAAGGAGGGGAGAAATCGGACCCCCTGCCTTAGACCCCGCTTGGCGGTCAGAATTTTCGAAGGCACACCATTGACGGAAAATCGATAGGAAACCGTAGCGACACACGCCATTATCCAACTTATAATTTTTTGAGGGAATCCAACTTCTACCATGATTTGGCATAAAGGTTTCCACTCCACGGTATCATACGCTTTCTGGATATCCATTTAAACCATGCAACAAAGAGAGATATTTTTCCTCTGATAACCTCTAACAAGTTCCTGCGCCATCATGATGTTATCTTGTATAGTTCTGCCTGGAACGAACGTCGATTGGTTGTCATCAACAATAGTCCCAATAACTTTACTCAACCTGCCAATGATAATTTTTGAGATTATTTTGTAAATAACAGTGCAACACGCTATGTACCTCATGTCCTTATTGTGGATGTTTAGGGCGACTTCAGAAATAACGTAATCAAAGAACAGTTAAATACTTTAAGCATTTTTCATGTGTTAAAAAATTCGAGAACATCATCAATAACGTTTTTACCAACAATTGGCCACACTGACTTGAAAAAGAAGGATTATACACTATTTAAATAAAAGTAAAGTGCATTTTTCAATATAAATTCTTGATATAAAATTACTTTTTAAAAATTAAAATAGTTTGTATAAATATATCATTAATCATTATATATAATTTTGATCTAAGTATTTTATTTAATATAGAAATTTAATTTTTAATCATTATATATAATTTTTTTATGCGATATTGACTTTATTTACATGTATATTTTTAAAAATAATTTGTTCACTTAAAAATATAAATAATTAATTAAAATTGTTTGATTAAAAAAATAAAAGATTAAAATTTGAAGTAACTTTGTAAGAAAGATTATTATTTGAGTCAATGGAACACATTTCTTTTATATATAATCAAGTTTATTCATGAATTTAACAAGTCAAAATATATATAATTTAAATTCAACTCATTTAATTAATAAATTTAACTTTTATTCTTATATTTCATTCATTCGATTCATAAATTTACTTCAATAATTTAGTTGTCGGATTTTGAATTATGTCGGAATCACCTTAAATAAGAAGCATTTTAAAGCATAATTATTTTTTTCAATTGTTATATTGATATTTGAAAGTGATTAAATTAAATGGCATTTTTTTAATTTAAGAGTATAAATCATTACTTTGTAAATATAAATTATTAAATTGTCATATATTAAAAAAATAATCATAGAGTTTTTTATTCTCGTTTTACGCATGCTTTTGTGTTAGGAGGAGCCAACCTTTTAGGACAAGTCAAAACTATAATTTCAACTTTGCTGACCTACTAACCTTCTAGTATTGCCATGAATTTTGTAGTTTTGAAGCCCAAATTTGATGACCATGTTTTGAAATAAAAATAATACAAATTTATTTAGTTTTGGAAAGACAAATACTACTTTGTATTTCTCTCAAAATTACGTCACATTTGAGTATTGTATATGATAAATATAATCAACTGTAAGAGTAAAGATTTAAGAGAGATATTAAAATGATTTGAATTTAAAATATAATACAAAGTAGAAGGAGAAAAACTATAATTAAGTTAAAACAAAAATAAAATTCTATTTAAAATTGAAACAACACCACTTTAGAATAATATTGTTTTAAACGTGACATTTTTTTATAAAGTCAAATGAGAAACTTATTTTTAACAAAGAAAACAAATATATGTTTATTTGTTTTTAGGTATGTGTCTACTTGGTCAATAAAAGAAATACTTATTTAATTTTGAGTAAAGAAGAAATATTTATTAATTAATCAAAATAAGAAGGTATATTTGTTAAGAAATGTTTCTATGATTTAATTTATTTTTTAAATTTATTAAATAATTATTATATCTAGTATATATATAGATCAGATACATTACTTATTCAATGAATATAGTGAAATTTATTTATAATGATAAAGAGAATATTATTTTTTAATAAAAAAATTCTATTCTAAAAAAAGAACACATTTAAAGTTATATAACAATAAATCTGTTATAAAAAGATTGATAGATTTAATTCAATGTACTAAAAAAAATGTAAAAGAAATTAAATGGCAAAATAATATATTTTCTCTGACCTTATTTATAAGAAACTTTTAAAATATATTAAATAATTAATATATTTGAATAATATATAAATCATATACATTGATTCAATAAATTTAAAATATGCAATTTTAAATGTGTTATTTCCTTTGAATATTTTTTTGACTAAAACGGAATACTCTCTCCGTCTCATATTATAAACAAATTTCACTAGATTTATTAAATAATTAATATATTTAGTCTATATATAGATCATGTACCTTAATTATTCAATGAATCTAATAAAATTTGTTTATAATATAGACAGAGAGAATATTCTGTTTTAGTCAAAATAAAATTCTATTCAAAAGAAATAACACATTCAAAATTACACAACAATAAATTTATTATAAAAAGATTGATAGATTTAATTCAAAGCACTAAAAAATGTAAAGGAAATTGAATGAAAAAATAATATATTTTCTTTGATTTTATTTATAAGAAATTTTTTAAATACATTAAATAATTAATGTATTTGAACAATATATAAACCAGATTCATTGCTTATTTAATAATTTTCTTTATATAAATAGAATAAAAATATTAATAAAAGAGTGAAAATCACATGTATAAAAAAATATCAAATCACAAGTTAAAAAAAATATCAAATCGCAAGTAGTGTATGAGAGATTACAAAGACTACAACAACAAAATAATCAAAGTAGTATAGGAAAACCATTCAAACAACTCGAGATCAATCTCGTAGGATTCAGATTACACAAAATCCACCAAGAAAACCACAAAACCATAACCCATTACAACCTTAGAAGTAATGCAAACACTTCATTTGTTTTTGTTTAAAGCAAATGATGGAGTTTAGAAGACGATCAAAGTACTAGCATGAGTTCACCCTTGATCTACCTATAAATCATTTCTGAACAAAAAACACTCTTCTCCTCCACCACTTTCAAAGTTTTTGAAACTCCATTAAAGATGACACCGTTACGTGCTTTCCAAAATGGTCCAGACTACAACATGACAAATCATAACAAAATCACCCTTAAACTTGGTCATATCACTTAAAGAAAGGTGTTCTAGGTCGTTCGAAGATCTATAAAAAAAGTTTCAAGATCGAACCTTGAGTGGAAAGGCATGCAGAGCATGTAGACCTTAGTTATAATTAGACGGCTATGCGTAAAACACGCAACATCACACGTGAACGATTTCAACTATTTTTGATATATAATGGTGAAGCGCGCCATACAAATTCATTCTCACCTACACACTATGTCTGATTTCTTTCACCGACTTTGGCATTAGAGTGCTCATCTTCCAAGTCAACTCCTTTCCATCACATCAAAGGTACAAATTATCTATAGTAAGACACAACTTCAATACTTCACCTTTAATTTCTAGTTCTTAACGAAACAAATTTTTTTTAAAAAAATAAATCTATAATTACCATGCAGAATCATCTCTCAACTATTAAAAAACTCTATCACATAGACAAACTAACTCATTAATAATAAAACGTGAGATCGAGTTAATCAAGACTCCACAAAAATAACAAATAATCTCATTCAAACGAATAACACAATTTTTTTAAACATGTTCTGATCACTCCTATTACATTTTACATAATTTTGTACTAAATTAACAGTATAATAAGATTGAACAATATTTATAAAAGTACAATCGAAAAATATTAATAAAGATATTAAAGATAAAAAAAGTTTTTTTTAGTCCAATAGTCTAATGATGAAAATCATTTCTTTTAAAGCGAACAAATTGGATGTTGTAAGTTTGAAATTGTGTTTATACATTTGATATCCTACGTAATTATCTATTGAAATGACTTAACGTGACTGATATAAAAATTACTTTATCATTGTCTATTACAAAAATTGCATTATAAAAAAAATTAGAGTTAGAGTTTTTATTTATTTAATTAAGGAATAATCAACACCCACACCATATTGCTCAGTTGTACATTTTAATTAAAATCTCACTACTTCATTCACACACGCCATTTTCATTTCTCTTCTCACTATAAAGACCAATTCATTTCCCAATTCTTTTGGATCGCGATTCTTCTACCTTTCTTTGGGTACGTTCTTCTCGCCTTTTCTTCTTCGTCTTCAAATTCTTCTTCTTCTTCAAACCCTAGCTACTTTTCAATCTTCATCGCTAATTCGTTCTTACCTTCACTGTTTCAATTTTTTTGCTATAATCACAATCGACGATCTCTCATCTTGTATCTGCTTTTTTTTTTCTTTCTTTTCTTTTCCATACGAATTTATATATGATTTTGTGATTTGTTTTACTAATGTTGATGAGCTGATGCAGGCTGTTTGGTGATTGTTTGATTTGAATGGCGTTCTTTAGAAGCGTTTCGAAACTTCGATCTCTCGCGGTAATAACTGAAAATGAATAAATTGAAATTCTTGTTCTACTATATTTGCCTATTGTTTATTATTTTTGAGTAATTTATTTTGTTTGATTGTTTTTGTAACATGCTGAATTTTTTGGTTCATTGTAATGGTTGTGTGATGATGATTTTTTTTTTTCATGGCAGGGTCAACAACCTAGTCTCGCCAATTCAGTTAGATGGCTCCAAATGCAGAGCTCCACTAACACGGTAATATCTCTCTTCTCTTATTGTTAATAAATCCACACCGAACAATATATGACTTGGACACGCGATTATAATTGGAGACAATCCTTCTCTTACAAGTCAGTTTTGTAGAAATGAGTTAGGTCCAACCACGTTTCCTAATATGGTATTACAGTCTGGTTTAAGATCCGGTGTGCCGCCTTCTATCAAGTTCCTGCTATCAGGCCACCTATCAATATTTACACTCTACAGATGTCCAGTCTTGGGCGTGAGGGGGGCAATCTTCACCTTATAAGCCGTTTTTGTAGGAATTTTAACACTTAGCAACCTAAAATTAGGTTCTGTGAGTTTTTCTGGTTTGGAATTGTATTTGCATATGGTGTAGTTTATCTCGGGTTAATCGGACTTTGGAGTAGATCTGAAATTGTATGTGAAATTGCTTGTATGTCTTGAATTTGTTTGTTTTGACTTTTGCTGACATTTGTTTTGTACTTGTGTGTTTTGCAGGATCTTTATTCTGAAATGAAGGAGCTAGTTCCAGAGTATCAGGTTTGTAATTTTATGTTTTGGTATTCTTGTGTTGGATGAGTTAATGCATAACCTGTGCTGCTTTCACTGAGTTTAATGTGAGTTTCATGTTTGGTTTCCTTCAATTGTAATTACATAGTAGTTTAATTCCTCTCTGAGCTATATGTAGACTTAATAGTTGTATTCTTGGATTGTTTTAGTTATTTTATTGTAATGTGTGGAAGTAAATGTGAATCATATTTTTTCTTGTGCTGTACTCAACTTGCAATGTGCATTTAGTTGTACTTATATGCGTAGTTCTCATACTATTGTGAGTCGGAGAGACATAATAAATGTCTTTTCAGAATCATAATTATCTCCAACGATTTTTCCTTCTTTTTATTATTTCGCTTGAACTTCCATTTCAATTGACATGTTTTAGAAATGTGTGTCTATGCTATGTTTTAATCTATGGATAAAAATGGTTGTAGGAACGTGTAAAGAAGCTGAAGAAAGATCATGCAACTGTTGAATTGGGAAAAACCACCCTTGATATGGTAATTGTATTGCTTTTTAAATAGCTATAGAGTTTCAAGTTACTAGCAGCATTAAATGATGTCCCAGTCTCTTGTCTATACACTTGCAATGTAACTTATTTTGGGAAGTGCATTTCTTTAATTGAAAAGGTACTTGGTGGAATGAGAGGAATGACAGCTTTAGTGTGGTTAGGCTCAGCTGTTGACCCAGACGAGGTATCTATCTCAATTGACTCGGGCTAATGATTAATTAATATTAATACAAGTGAATTACATCTTGCTAATGATTATTGACTAGTTGATAGAATCTCTGATGTAGCATTTGTTTGTTAATGTTCATTAATTGGATCTGAGGTCAGCTTGTTTTGTGTTTTAGGGAATTCGCTTTAGGGGCATGACAATTCCTGACTGCCAGAAAACACTTCCAGGTGCTTTTCCTGGTGGGGAGCCATTGCCTGAGGCCATACTGTGGCTTCTATTGACAGGAAAGGTATAATCAAATTGAACTTATTATTATAGATGTTGTGGCTTACAAGTAATGCAGTTTAGCATCATGGCATCACCCTGTATGAAGGTGTTCTGATACGTGCTCTTGGGTTTTTTGTCATATAATTAATTCATACATTGTGTTGCAGATACCAAACAAAGAGCAAGTAGATTCGTTAGCTCAAGAATTGCGAAGACGTGCAAAAATACCAGGTTCATTTTCTTTTGAAGTCATAGATTGGTATCTTCAAGTAATTACTGTTCATTCTAATAGTCCAAGTAAAATGTCATGGTTTTGTTTTGTGCTTTTATCAGTTGTAGGTTCAGTATAATCATAATTACTGTACTGTAAATGCTTTTCTTAAATTATAGTGAATTGACACAATATATATCATCAATCATTTTTGTCTGCCAACGTTCTACTTGCTCTTGCCCAAACATTACATGTGTAGAAGATTTTAACATAAAGCTTTTTTCTACATTGTTTCATGATGCACATGATCTAAATTGACTCTTGTTTATGGTGCTCCAAAATTGTGGATTGATTCCTTATATTATTTTTATTTTACTTGTAGAATATGCTTACAAGGCAATTGATGCACTGCCTGTTTCTGCTCATCCAATGACACAGTTTAGTACTGGTGTAATGGCCCTCCAGGTTGATGCACTGCCAGATTCTTTTTTGAATTCTGTTTTTTAGTCTTTCTTTTGTAATTCAACTGCTTTGACGGTCATTATTGGAAACTTTTGTTCACTGTCACATTCATTATTGGAAACTTTTGTTCACTGTCACATTCATTATTAGAAACTTGTGTTTACAGTCACATTCATTATTCGAAACTTGTGTTTGTGATAAGCTGTCCTTTCTTCAGAAAAATAGCCTTTGTTGCTTCATGTTTTGTTGTGTAGGCTCATATGTCTGTAATATCTTAATATTAACAAATGAAGAGATTTATGAAATTAAATTAACCAGAAAAAGTGGGGGGAATTCAAATGACTGAGAAAAAACGTCAATACTCAATAGGTACCTTACGTCCAACTCGTGTTTGATTCACCCTGTCAGAAAAACTCACCTAAGATATCTGATTTTCGTGATGGCCTGTGCAATATGAACCTCATGTAAGAGTTTAATTAATTGAATATTATAAAATATTAGAATTTTAACATTATTCTTCTCTTATGGATAATCATGGTGTTTTTTGTTGATCTTATGCATTTAATATTTGTGGCGGTCTAGTTGCTTGATATCAGTACTCTGTAGTTATTTTCTGTATATTATTATTATTATTATTATTATTATTATTATATGAAATATCGAGCTGCCATCTTCTACTTTGTATCTACCCACATAAACTCAGTCAATGAAGAAAGAGAATTTACTAAGTTGCAAAGACAAAAGAATCAACACTGTAGTGTTTTTGTAATTATAGTATAATGGTTTTTCCTCCTGTTCTCTTTCCTTCGTTTGTTTTTCCTTTCTATTATCATTGTCCATCTAAATTTAGCATCTTCCTTTTTTGAAGAAGGAAAGGAAGAAGAAAATGAATTTAGTTTTGCAATACATAGTCACTAAGGATCAAAGTAAATTTAATTGACTGCCTAAGTTCCATTATTAATATTCTTGTAAATAGTAATGACAAAGACTGATTTTCAATCAATTTATTTCATTTTCAGGTGGAAAGTGAATTTCAGAAGGCATACGAGGGTGGGATACATAAGTCAAGGTAAGATTCTAAAAGTCTTTCGTGTTTCTCAAACCTTATAAGCTTCTGTAACAGGTTTGCTGCTTTGGTATAGGTACTGGGAACCAACCTACGAGGATAGCTTGAATTTAATTGCTCGTTTGCCTGGAATTGCTGCTTATATTTATCGACGGTATGTCAAGCCTATATTCCTTTCCAAGATTACACATTTAATATGCAATGGGAAATTATAGCCAAGAAATAGACTTATGGGATATATTATGGGATGGCACCAATTATAAGTGTTTTGACAGTTTTCTATCATCCTTTTTACATTTTGGATTGATTTCTTACCCTATTTTAAAGGATATACAAGGATGGAAAAATCATACCATTGGATGATTCTTTAGATTATGGTGCAAACTATGCTCACATGTTAGGATTCGATGATCCGGAAACGCTGGAGTTTATGAGGCTGTATATTTCTATCCATAGGTTTGTGTTCAATTCCTAATGATTGTACCTTCCATGATCACTATGAACTGTATGGTTCTCTTTCAATTACCAGCAAGCCTTGTTTTTATTGTTCGACTTTTTTGTTTTGGTTAAATTTCATGTGCAGTGATCATGAAGGTGGCAATGTTAGTTCTCACACAGCTCACTTAGTAAGTCAATTCTCTTACAAACTTTTTCCATCAAGTTGCAATCCTGAATAGTGAATTATGTATAAAACATTCATATATTTAGTATTGATGACTTGTGCTTCAGTAAATGTTTGCTTTAGTTTTATCATTAGACATGATTCCTGATAAAATATTTTGGTGTTGTTTTGATTCATGCAATCTCTCTCTCACCTAGTCGCAAAAGGCTTTGGTTGTTATTATTGTAATTTAATGTATTGTAACATGTGTTCCATTCAGGTTGGTAGTTCACTATCAGATCCTTATCTAGCATTTGCAGCTGCTTTGAATGGTTTAGCTGGGCCACTCCACGGTTTAGCTAATCAGGTTATTTTGTTATTTCTTTTTTCCCTTCCTTCTGTTTTCTTTTAATCTTACATAAAATTTGCTATATTTCATCTTCCTGTCAGAAACCATGTTTGTATGTAGTGTTTACTCAGTCTCAGACCTGTCATATTTAGTATTTTTCCATCAAAATCAAACTGTCTTGCATTACTATTACTAATATCTGCTGTTCTGGTAAATACAGTCAGATACCAGGCCTCCAGGCCCGTCTTAAAGAATATATGTGCAGAAAAGTTTGTCTTTATAATTGCTGAGCGAGTTTTGAATTTTTATAACCTGTCAGTAATGGATTGATATAACGTACCCAATGAAATATATACTGATTAATGCCCATGTTATTCCTCAACTGTATATTATCATGATGAAATATATACTGATTATTGCCCATTTTATTCCTTAACACTGTATATTATTACCTTTAGTTTTGTTCATATCGGTTATATTGTTACAGGAAGTTCTACGATGGATCAGAAATGTAGTTAAAGAGTTTGGAACTCCAAACATAAGTACAGAACAATTGAGCGACTATATTCATAAAACATTGAACAGTGGCCAGGTAATGTTACTGAACTGAATATTTGAAGCTTTTGATGCCTTTTCTTTTGTTGCTTTTTTTGCCTTTCTTGGATCAATTTTAATTAAATGTTAAATATTGTTGGTTTTTTTTTTGCTCAACCTTTTTTCAAAATAAAGCAATTCAGTAGGGTAGAGTTAAAGGGTAAGAGTTCTACTTAAAAAAAAGATCAAATATCGATAGAAGCATGCTGCTGTATCCAATTCTTTATGTTCAAGTCTTCTTTACTTCTGAATAAAAGGATTTTTCGGCTCAAGAGCATTAGATTTCTTCAGTTCTCTTTATTTTATGTATATGGATGAACACTGACATGCATGCCTTAGAACTATTGTTTACAATACATTCCCTTAGAGAAAGTTTCCAAAACTAATGTAGAAATATATGGGTTTTTTTAAATAAACAAGTGTCTTTTCAATCACTAGGAAATTACAAGGACAAGGTAGAGGACCGATGTGACACAGGATAGTACTGTAATTAGAGGTATAGGGTTATCAAAGACTAGGCCAAACCATTGGAATTTTTTTAGCGAAACAGTATCTTTTGCCCAAATGCACAGAAAAGCTTTGTAAAATTGGTTGATCCACGTAGCTAACTCAGTCTAATGGAAAAAAACTTGATTGTTATTGTACAAGTAGGAAATGAGAGCAATATATTCTATGTTTCTTATGAAAGTACTGGTTTTTTCATGTGGTAAAATATCCATATCTTTGCATTAAAGGATTAGGATTATTTTAAAGAGAATACTACTCTTGTAGACTTGTTCCAAATTCTTCTACTGAGAAGCTTCTGTTGATAATGTAACGGTAGGGTTTTGCTGTTTTTGAATTTGCAGGTTGTGCCTGGATATGGACACGGAGTTTTGCGTAAAACAGACCCAAGATACACTTGCCAGAGGGAGTTTGCATTGAAGCATTTGCCTAATGATCCACTTTTCCAGCTGGTGTATTCCTAATTTTGGATTTTGTTTGCTTTTGAATACTTTCTGACAGCACACCTGTAGTTTGCTTCTGGTAAACTTCTTCATGATCTAATGTATAACTGATTCTTTCAGGTGTCAAAAATAAAAGAGGTTGTGCCTCCTATTCTGACCAAGCTAGGAAAGGTGATGTCATGTTTTTTATTTTTCAATGAACATTCATACAGAATTATTTTTTCACTACTTTGTTCTGCTGAGGTTTATAATGGTTTTTGCTTAGTGTACTGTCATATGTCCGTATTTTATGAATACCTGCTGAGTCTAGATCACCTATGGACTATAAAGGTTTAGCAAGGGCAATCATGCATTGAATGAAACACAACACAAGAAAGATGGTCTGATAGGTAGAATATTAGATTATGAACTTTTAGTTCTTTGTGGAGTTGCCGAGGGGATTTTAATTCAATGATATCACCTCCGTTAATCACGGTGAGTTTATTTTGGTGGAAAAGACAAGAGGATGTTGATGAAGACTCAAGATAATGAGTTGTCCTAGTCTTTCTATTTTTACCTTTTTTATATGGTGTAAGTATTTGTTTTTGTTCGAGGTTGGTCGGTCTACATGATTTTCCAACAAATTTTGCACCCAACCTGACGAAGGTGTTGGAGGCTGCAATTAAGGCAACAACCCAAATGCCACAATTAGGCGGCCAGGGGAAGACTGCAATGAATGCTTGTATTTTAGTTTTTATTTGTTCTTTTTGCATAATCTACTCTTCGAAGCTTTTACCACATTTTTCCATGTATTCCTACATCAAGTTTTGATAGATCATCAGATGTACTCAATATTCACTCGCTATTTTTATAGGTTAAAAATCCATGGCCTAATGTTGATGCTCACAGTGGAGTGCTGCTGAACTACTATGGTCTAACTGAGGAAAAGTATGGGACTGCATCTCTTGTTTAATTTGAGATCATTTTCGATTTGCAATTAATTTTTAGGATGAATCTGATGATCTATTAATATTCTGGACAGCTATTATACCGTTCTCTTTGGTGTAGCAAGGAGTATTGGAGTTGGCCCTCAGGTTTGTCATGCCCCATTTTTTCCTTTCCAACATTACTCTTTTTTGCCAGTTTTAATTAACAAATCTCTTCCTTTTGTTGGATTTCAGTTGATATGGGACAGGGCTCTTGGAATGCCACTTGAAAGGCCAAAAAGTGTCACACTGGAAAAACTCGAGAAGTTGGCTGGTGCATCATCATGAAATTATTAGCACCATTTATTTGTTGATTGCTAAAATACACTCTGCAGTGAATGTAGGATGCTTACTTGAAAATTTTAGTGTGATTTTTTTTGGCTGTTTCGTCTGCATTTTCGGATTTAGAAGATTTCGGTTTTTAGGAAAAGGGTGGATTGTCACCCTCACGGTTGTCTTTCACTTTTTCTACGATGCATAAATTGGGTCCTGAGGGAGTATCAGGGCATTATTGTTTCCTGGAAATCCTGCTGTATTCTTTCTAAATAGGATTGATTCCTTGACAAAAAAACACGAAGTTATCAATAACACGAGTTTTACTTAAAGTTTGTGATTCATTGATACAATTTAGCGTAGTTATGAGTATTTAGATTATAATCTATTAGACCTGGCTCGATCTTATTTACAACAAGCTTGACCTGGCTCGATCTTATTTATAACCAGTTATTGTTAAACGAACAACAACTGGTTTCTATTGATTACATGTTTTTATTTAAATCGTTAATCTCTGCGATTTTTTTGAATAACTTTTCTTATGGTTTTTGTAGATCACCTATTTCTCTTGTTTGACTTTTTTTCCATCTTATCTACTCTTACTAGATTTATCGGAGATTTTCTTTCTACATTATCGGAGATTTTCTTTCTACATGTTCAAATCAATCAAGTCTATATATTTTTTTTTACCATTTTCTAATCCTATTACGTTGACTTTTAACCAAATAAGTGAAATAATAAAATTTGTAAGTTTGTCTCCACATGTATTGTCAATTTAAACATGGTAACTATACAAAATAAAATGATAATATTTGGTTACGAAAATAAGATGAGAAAATTGTAAGTGAAATAATAAAATTTGTAAGTTTGTCTCCACATGTATTGTCAATTTAAACATGGTAACTATACAAAATAAAATGATAATATTTGGTTACGAAAATAAGATGAGAAAATTGTCAGATTAAAGTACGATAATGAAACGTGATTAGATCTTTATTTCGAATCTTCTAATTATATATGTTGATGAATTATATATTAATTGAATGACGTATCCGATTTTTTGGTGTATAACTCACTAATTTATGCAATAATTCTCTAATTCTTGAGATCAATTCAGAGTCAAACTAGACGTTCTAATTTCGTTAATTCAAAAGTCATAATTTCTAATCATCTATTCTTAATGCAAAGTTGAATAATTGCTCGAGATCAAATAAGTAGATTAACGGTCAAAAATTCATATATGTATCTATATCGATTCAGAGCGCTTTTAAACACGAAAAACAATAAGCACATGAACAATTAAATAAGATAATAATAATAATAAAAAAAAATAAAAAAAATAAATAATAATAATAATAATAATAATAATAATAATAATAATAATAATAATAATAATAATAATATATAATAATAATAATAATAATAATAATAATAATAATAATAATAATAATAATAATAATAATAATAATAATAATAATAATAATAATAATAATAATAATAATAATAATAATAATAATAATAATAATAATAATAATAATAATAATAATAATAATAATAATAATAATAATAATAATAATAATAATAATAATAATAATAATAATAATAATAATAATAATAATAATAATAATAATAATAATAATAATATAATAATTATAATAATAATAATAATAATAATAATATTATTA